CTAAAGTCTGCTTCAGCAGAGTACAGCAGCAAGGGTTTGATCCCCCAGCATGCTATGCTGACCCCACCCCCAGGGTGCACTGAGACAGACATTGAGACTGGGCGTGGTGGCATGCGCCTATAATCCCAGTGCTTGGGAGGTTGAAAACAGGAGAATCACTATAAGTCAGATCTATGTAGTGAGACCCTATACACCCTGTTCTAAATTTATTTATTTATTTATTTTTATTTTTTTAAAGTTATAGATTTTTATACACAGATTTTTTTTTAAATATTTATTTATTTTGTGTGTGTGTAGCCAGCTCAGCCCACCAGGGGGCGGGGCTGGCTGGCATGTGGTGCTGGGGGATTGAACTGCGGTCCCTGTGCTTTGCTTAGCTTAGCTTGTTCTAAGTAGGTGCTTTAGACCACTGAGCCATCTCACCAGCCCCCTAAATTTATTTAAAAAAATAAATAAAGGTGTTTAGAATACCCACCTTCGAAGGGTGAGGTAATGGTCCAGGGCTCGTCTTCTTGTGGGACTCATGGGTGCAGGATCTGAGGCAGTTGCTGATTCCTTAGCCTGTGGGCCAGGCCTAGGCTCTGGTTCCCTATTGATCGTTTCACTGTGGAGTTCAATCTCTTGGGTTGCCAAAGGGGAACAGGAAACAGAGGAAGCAGGGGCTTCTGGTCTGTGTAGAGAAGAATCAAAGCCTGTAGAAGCAATTAAGGAAAAAGCCAACTCTTCTATGACTTCCAAATCATTAGAGCAGGCCTGTTTTTCTTTCTTTTGTGTGATACTGGGGATTGAATTTAGGGCCTTATGCTAGAGCAGTGTTTCTTAAACTGTGTTCCTCAAGGTATTATTATTATTATTATTATTATTATTATTATTATATTTAGTACAGGGTCTCACTACACAGATCGGATTCTCCTGTTTTCAGCCTCCCAGTACTGGGATTACAGGCACGTGCCACAACATCCAGTCTCAATGTCTCAGCGTACCCTGGGGTCCTTTGTGCTCTGCCTAAGCAGGCACTTTAATCCACTGAACTATCTGGCCAGCCCCAATTTTGTTTTTTGAGACAGTCTCCCTATGCAATTCAAGCTGGCCTTGAATTATGTAGCTTTTTTTTCTTTTTAGTAAATGTCTACAGGGTCTTAGGACATAGATCGGACTCATAGTGATTCTCGTTTTCAGCCTCCCAAATGCTGGGATTACAGGTGTGGGCCACCATGCCCAGTCTCAATTGCCATCTCAGCGTGCCCCAGGGGCAGGGCTGGCCCTGCAGACCTGGGGATCGAACTCCTGGCCAGTGGACCCTGTGTCTGCCTAAGCAGGCGCTTTAATCTGCTGAGCTATTTGGCTAGCCCTTCTCAGGCTGGTCTTGAACTCCAAGTGATCCTCCTGACTCAGCCTCCTCATTGCTGGAGTTACAGGAGTATGCTTCCATACCACCGCATAATAAGTGTTCTGCATAAAAAAAAAATTCTGCAATATAAATTTGGGAAAAATCTGTAAATTTTTTAAAGTTTTTATCTTCCTGCTTAGGCAAACACAGGGACTGGGATTCAATCCCCGGTGTGCTGTGCCAGCCCGCCCCAAGGCGCACTGAGACTGGACATGGTGGTGCGTGCCTGTTGTCCCAGTGCTTGGGAGGCTGAAAACAAGAGGATGACGAGTCTGACCTGTGTAGTGAGACCCTGTACTAAATACATTAAAAAAAAATCTGTATCCATACTTCTAGAAGCTTGAAGATTTTTTTAAAAAAGCAAAGAAAAAGCAAAAAGTTGTTATCTTAAGATTTTGTACAGGAGGGGATGGGGAGATGGCTCAGTAGAATAAGCACTTGCCTGGCAAGCATAACGGCCTGAGTTCAATCCCCAGTTCCACCAAAAAAAAAGATTTTGTACAGGGACGGCCAAATAGCTCAGCGGATTAAAGTGCCTGCAAGCAGGCACAGGGGCCAGGGTTTCGATCCCTGGGCCTGCCATGCTAGCCCGCCATGAGGGCACGCTGAGATGGCAGTTGAGACTGCGCATGGTGGTGCATGCCTGTAATCCCAGCTCTTGGGAGGCTGTAAACAGGAAAATCACTATGAGTCTGATCTAGTAGTGAGAACCTGAACATCCTGTAGACC